CACATGGATAAGACTGAATATATGGCCAAGAGAAAATTTTGGTAATGTGTTTATGTGAAGTCTGAATATATCACTGGTGTTTCCAAGAGGAAGGAAGGTGGGCAGCGCCTCCTCTGAAGCATGGGGAGAGAAAATTATTGACTGTACAAAAATCTAACAAAACAGACATTACGAAAGTGGAGAGTAAGGCCCAATCCCAATTCTATTTTATACCCCTTCCCCTCCCCCCGCCCCTTCCCCTTGTCCCTTGAAACAGAGTGTCAAGGGGCAGGGGTGAAAATATTCCCCTAAGAATTGGGACACCGCTCTACTATACGTCAGACGTCATCGTACGTCATCTAGCTCCTACAATACACACACTGGTGTGCTGGTGTGCATTAGAGCCTTTAATTACCGTTCTATATTAACGCGGTGCTTACTCACCCCTACCCCTTCACGTGAACGCGCGAAACGGAGGGGTAGGGGAAAGGGGAAGGGCTGAGGGGTAGAATTGGGATTGGGCCTAAGTCGTGTCTTACTTTAGGGTGTTTTCAGAGATTGTCAGAGATTGCTTTGCACTTGCTAGCTTGCTGCCCTCAGGTCTCTAGGGTTACACTTTAGTTTAGGGACCATTTCTCACTATTAACTAGTTGCTTATTAGCATGCCTGTTATTGACATATTGGCTGTTTATTAGTTTTCATAAAGCACTTATTCTGCATGAGCATATGTGATCCTGGACCATAAAACCAGTCATAAGGGTCAATTGTTTTGAAACTGAGATTTATACATCGTCTGAAAGCTGAATAAATAAGCTTTCCATTGATATATGGCTTGTTATGATAGGACAATATTTGGCTGAGATACAACTATTATCCAGAAAATCTGGAATCTGAGGGTGCAAAAAAATCAAAATACTGAGAAAATCGCTTTTAAAGTTGTCCAAATTAAGTTCTTAGCAAAGCATATTTACGGTAGGGAATTTACAAAATATCTTCATGGAACATGATCTTTACTTAATATCCTAATGATTTTTGGCATAAAAGAAAAATTGATAATTTTGACCCATACAATGTTTTTTTGGCTACAAAAAATGTAGTACATTTTTGCTACAAATATACCCCAGCGACTTAAGACTGGTTTTGTGCTCCAGGGTCACATATTTTACATCCCTAATTCTACCCAATAGCTAAACTTAACACCTACCTTACTCACTATTAATAAGCAGCAAATTAGGAGTTTATTGAGGCAAAAGTCATAGTTAATGATTTGTTAATATCAAGAATTGGACCTTAAAATAAAATGTGACCGATAGTCTGGTCAGTGTTATTTTAGTATCATTGAGATGCTATTATAGTTTTTTAAGTATATTTAGAACTAGTTGTTATTTGCATTTTCCATTTTAATTTTAGTAATTTTTTTATAATTTTGTTGTGTGAAAATCTGGAATCTGAGGGTGCAAAAAAATCAAAATACTGAGAAAATCGCTTTTAAAGTTGTCCAAATTAAGTTCTTAGCAAAGCATATTTACGGTAGGGAATTTACAAAATATCTTCATGGAACATGATCTTTACTTAATATCCTAATGATTTTTGGCATAAAAGAAAAATTGATAATTTTGACCCATACAATGTTTTTTTGGCTACAAAAAATGTAGTACATTTTTGCTACAAATATACCCCAGCGACTTAAGACTGGTTTTGTGCTCCAGGGTCACATATTTTACATCCCTAATTCTACCCAATAGCTAAACTTAACACCTACCTTACTCACTATTAATAAGCAGCAAATTAGGAGTTTATTGAGGCAAAAGTCATAGTTAATGATTTGTTAATATCAAGAATTGGACCTTAAAATAAAATGTGACCGATAGTCTGGTCAGTGTTATTTTAGTATCATTGAGATGCTATTATAGTTTTTTAAGTATATTTAGAACTAGTTGTTATTTGCATTTTCCATTTTAATTTTAGTAATTTTTTTATAATTTTGTTGTGTGTTTTATCATTTTGTTTGTGTTGTTGTTTCTTAATTACTTTTTTCCCCTATATTTTAGGTAGTTTTATTTATTTTATTTCAGTTTTAGTTTATTTTAGTACATCAAGTTAAACAAAAAATTTAAATGAGAAATGTTGCTTTGGCAACTAGGTGAAATAAGACAAGTATAATAACTCTGTGTCACAAAAAGGTTGCAATTAAGGATGAGGTGAGGATCTAAGCACAGCAATTTAGATTTACACAAACTCAAAACTGGACAGAGGAACTGAATAACAAGGTTACACGCAACAAGAACTGACAATGAACAGAAGAAAACGCAAGGCTTAAATACCCTGAAACAAACCAATCAAACAGGTGCAGAAACTAATCAAATCAATGAGTAACTAAGATAACAAACTAGTGGCGGGGAATTCAAAGCAAAGGAAACTAGAACAAAGCCAAACGGAACAGAACATACACGTGACACCCTGATTCTTGTCTTTAAATATATTTTCAAGAGTGAAAACCCATGTGCTATAAAACTAGGGGTTATTTGCACCTCAGCGTTCTTCCTTTCGTACCTTAATCGTCTATAGCACCCTCTCACTGCCCAGTGCAGCGCTCTGTATTTGGAGTGTAATGCAGTGTCAGGGGACCCAAGTGCCTGAAAGGCTACGCCACTGAGAGCTGTAAATTTGATTTATCGTCCTGTCAGGTGGCTATGTCAGGTGTGCCCAGCGCGCTGACATAAAGATAACTGACATCTTGCTGTCATTAAGGCCTGGGAAGCACCGTCAATCTCTCATCGCCGTATTTATTCCCACTTTTCTTTGTCACTTATTTCTTCCTCGACCCCTCAGAAGAAGCACCTGTCACCCCCAGACCAGGTCTCGTTTTTCTCGCACCGTTTCATCTCCCGCCTTCTGGAATAATTTGGTGATGGATTAAATGCCGTGGCTGAAGCCGCGGGACTCCGAGGTGCGCTTCGGAGGACGGCGAAGGCCGACTGAAGACGGACTGATTCCAGCTCTCCGGCTCGTTGTGCTATCCATCACCTCCAAGAGCTGGATGACTCTCTGTTGCTCTGGGAAAGTGTCCTATTAGCAGGGGTTGATGAAATATGTGTTTGAGGTATCTTGGGTTTTAGCAATGTTGACATTAGATGAACGCGATGATTCTATCAGCAGAAAGTCAAAATATTCTAAATTATAAAATTGAAGGGATAAGGCACGAGTTAGAATAGCAAATATTTTGAAGCATGTTGAATAGAATTGAGGCATGCATTTGAAATCTTAGAGAGGCCTAATGGTTAGAGAGACTGACTTGTAACCCAGAGGTCATGGGTTCGAGTCTCAGTACCAGCAGGGATTTTTTATTCACCGCAGCAAAAAAAATAAATAAAATGTCTCGCTACTGCTCCGTGTGCATTTTGCTTTTATTTATTTATTTATTTATTTGTTTGTTTGTTTGTTTATAACTTGCTTATTTTTTATGGTATTGGTGGCTGATAACAAGTTATTGTATTTTTACAATAACAACTGATACGTTTACTTAAAAAAATCACATATCAGTATAACAAAATATTACATCAGTAATAAAACACTTTATTATTATTATTATTATTATTATTATTGTTGTTGTTGTTTGTATATTGATATATAATCACAATAGTTTTTGGGCCAGTTTCTTTCTTTCTTTCTTTCTTTCTTTCTTTCTTTCAAATATTGAACAAATATATTTTAAGTACTATTTAATA